TGTCCAAACGCATTCGCTGGGCTAGATGGTTATTTCAAAGTAGACATGGGTCATCATGAATCTACTGTAAAAGAACTTGTTATTCTTTCGGTTTGATCTTCTTTTCTGGGAGATTTTGTGTTTTCTCTAAGAGAATCTGGTAAGAGCATTGGGCGGCAGGTAGGCCAAGCAAATGGAACATTCCCATGGCTCCTGGGGAAGAGCTGACTGGGCCAAAGTGCGTCAGCCTGAGGAGAGTGGCAGCGGCAGCTGGGACGTGATGGCGTGGCGGCGTGTCCTGGCGTGTTGTGCCTGCAAAGCGTACGCGGCCAAGGGCTTGGCCGATTCACTCTGGGTGGAAAAGTGCCCCTGACCCCAGGGACCTGAACTGTGTCACAGAGCATCAGGACGGAGACTAAATATGAATCCTGAGTATGTCTGTTATCACTTACTGAGAGGTGAACAGCCAAGACTTGGAAACAGGAATGTGACCCAAAAAAACTAGAAACAAAACCAAAATGAGGTTAAGAAAACAGGATAAACCCATTCCGCTCACAGCACAACAGGGAAAAATCCAAACTTGATCACAGAGAACGTCCGGAGGCATAAGGAAACCAAGACACCAATGTGGAGGTGTCCCTGGACTCCAGGGACAGGCGGAACCATGGCCTATGGTGGATGCTGACCAAGGGGAAAAAGAACTGTAACCTGGAAACGAGGGACAGGCAGATCTGGGGCCCAGCAAAGCCAGAAGCTTCCACCACATGGCCTGGTGGGCAGACTTGCCCAGATGGGCCACTCTCCGTTATGCCACGAGGCCCCTCACATCCTGTGTTCGCATTGTAAACGTCTGCTCCGCTCATCAAGAGCCACACTCGCTCTGAGCCGAGCACGACACCTGAAGTGTCAATGAACCGAGTAAGAAATCACATTACCTAATCCAATTTCAAGAAGAAATCAAACCTACTATTATTTACCCACCTAGTACATTCCCACTGGCACAGAACACGCGCCTCTATTTTACTGGGGGGGAAAAAGTTGCTGTATTGTAACTACAGTTGACTTTTGAAATCTTTAATTTTTTATTGTTTATTTTTCAGAGAGAAAGAGTGTGAGCTGTCAGCACAGAGCCTGATGTGGGGTGGGGCTCGAACCCATGGACTGTGAGGGCATGACCTGAGCCGCAGCTGGATGCCTAACCGACTGAGTCACCCAGGCGCCTGACAGTTGACTCTTGAACAAGAGGGTTGAACTGAACGGGTCTGCTTAAATGTGGATTTGTTTTCAATAGATACAGTAGTGTAAATGTATTTTCTCTTATGATTTTAATACTTTCTTTTCTCTAGCTTACTTTATTGTGAGAACACAGTAAACGACACATATGACATAAACGTGTGTTAATCGATTGTTTATGTCATCAGTTAGGTGTGCACACGTGAAAGTACTTGGCTATTAAATTTTGGGAGAGTCACAGTATACGCAGGTTCTTCACTGCACAGGAGGTTCAAGGGCTGACTGTATAGTACGTAAGACATCACAGAAGTTAGAAGTGAAGAGACAAAGACCGGACAGGCAGACACGCAGGGCAGAGCAAGGGCGTGAGGCTAAAACTGTGGAAGAAAAATGAAGCTCCTAAGAGTAGTGGCTGGAAACAAAGGTGACTGAACTAGATCCTTCTGACTGCAGATGTTCTGGGACTTTACTTTTTTTCCCAAAATACCCTTCTCTTTCTTTTGCCATTCTGAGTTAAAAAGTCAAGAAAAATGTTTACACTGTAAAATAAGGCTCAAAGAATACTTGTTTCACATTCAAAAGCTTTTCTCTAGAAAGCATATCACATATGTTTCTCCAGGATAAATGAAGGGTAAAAATGTAGCTGTTAGCCACTAGCCAGAGTTAAGAAGGAAAAGGAGCCCTCTTTTCTGTCAACCTCGCCTGATTCTAACCCATTCTCCCTGAGCGATACTGACAAGGCTGCTCCGACCTTGCCGAGCGAACAGCAAGTGCAGGTCTGCTCCTTCGTCCTGCGACCAAAAGCACCTACTAACCTGAAACATAACCCGACAACCACCAAGTGTCAGACATCACTGGACAGCAGCCCGGAGGAGAGGATCTCAAAAGGCCAGTCGGCAAGGGGTTAACACGGGAGACCGAATACACACCCAAAGAGAAAACTTTCCAAAACTCTGCAGTGTCACGCAAACTGAGGCGGGGCTGGTGCTGAGCAGCGCCGGGCCTGAGAGGGCCTCCACGCTGAGTGACGACGTGCCCCCAAGTTCTAGCTGTGACAATGCCACCACCAATACTGAAAATGCCAGGGGAGGGGGAAGTATAGTTTACAGTTTTCAGTAATTAACGAATACAAGCAGTCTACTGTTGCACCTTATCCCAAAGGTTAATACATGGAGTTGTTCAAAACACTCCTCTGTGGAACTTCATGAGCAAAATGGAAAATACTTTGAGAAATGGGATTTATTCAGATAGAATATCGGAATGTAGTAGGCAGATAAAGGCAGGTTTCTAGGCTCAGACTACTGAGGACTTTCTTACAGGATTCGCTTGCCCTGGCTGCAGTAACAATCTAGCAAGTTACATGAGCCTTCGGGGAAGTGGTTTCCAACACCAGCAGAGGAGGGTTACTACTCCACCAGCCCTCAGGGGAGCTGTGAGCCTTGAAGATGAACATGGCTCCTGGCACAGGGCCTGACACGTTAGGACTCAGACTGTAGCTGTTATTTCATAAATATCTAAAGAATTAAAGTAAGATACGTTATTAGACTCAGTCGGAACTCTCCACTTGTAATGAATGTATAAAGCTGTTATGTTCTCAAACGAAACCTGAAAGTAAAGAATACTCAATTCAAGAGTAGCATTTCTAAAAAAAATTTAAAAACTGCAGAGCAACTACACATTATAATTATTTGTAGAATAAAAGAAGTCAGCAACTGCTGCAAGCACACAAAGTCTCTACATTCTCAGAGTTCTGACAGAATGACACTGTACTGGACAAAGGACCAATCTGATTTAGCCAAAAATGACATATTAAGAAACTCCCCAGAGGCAAATCAGCAGGTAAATGCCCTTGGTCTCCACACCGGGGCTCCCTGGGTTTTCTGCACCCCAGAAACCCAACCAAGTTCCTTGTGTCACCACTGAAATCACCATCTTCAGTTGTATTACTATAAGATTAAAAAAAACAAAAAAAAAGATCATAAAGGTCATACACCTAAGCAAGCCACAACCCTCGAGTGGAGGACGGTCCTCTGTTTGTCAAAGATCCTACCCTCCTTAAAGGCTTTCTATGTCCTGTGACCTAGCAACCCGCTCCCAGCTATCTATCCAAGGAAACAATATTCATAACAGCATTGATCATTAAGAGCCAAAGGGTGCAATCAACCCAGATGTCCCCTCGCCGACAAACGGGTGAATAAGATGCAGCATTGTGAGGAGAGGATGTGTGGACACACAGGGCAAGGAGGAGGAAGCTGGCAAAGGCTGTGCTAAGTGAAAACAGTCAGTCTCAGAAAGCTACTACATGTTGTGTGATTCCACGCAACTAAAATGTCCAAAACAGGCAAAAGCACAGAGAAAGTTGATTGGCGGCTGCCGGGGACCGAGGGAGGGAGAATGGTGGTGACTGCTCACGGGCACTGACCTTCTCTCAGGGGCAATGGAAATGTCCTAACACGAGACCACGCTGATGGCTGCAACGGCATGGGAATACACTAAAAACCACTTCAAAGAAGGGTGCATTTTAATGGGAGTTCTATCTAAATTAGGTTGTTTTTTAACAACGTAAATGTACACGCACATGGGAATATGGACACAATTATGATAACTTTTAACTTAATTTTGAGTTAGACATGTAGCTTCCTGTCTATTTAAATTAATGCCAATTTGGGGGAAGATTCTAAAATATTAGCATAGCTGATGGTGTACTGAAACATCACACAGCCAAGTTTGACCATTATGGACACATACTGAAAATTTAAGCTTAAATCTCCACTGAACTAGCAACTTTAGAGCTAGCAAATCAGTAGCAATCTGCCATCTAGTGAATTAGCTTAATTTCAAGGTCTTATATTTGGATGGAATCAAGAAACTCTACAAATTCAAAAGTGTATCATTGAGTGCATAATAGAGACCAGGAGCTATGTCTTTCACACCCCCGTGACCTTTGTGGCAGACAGTCCCTTGCACACACCATGGACCACATAATGAGCAAATTAAATACTTTAATACCATATTTGTCAAACAAGGTCATGATTGTCAAGCTTTCTGCTCTATGTGGTAACCCTTTAGATAAGGGTCAGCGAACTGTTCCCATAAAGGGCAAGGCGGCAGATATTTCTGGTTTTGTGGACCAGACCGCTTATTTTTATCTTTTAATGTTTATTTTTTAGACAAAGCAAGTGTCAGGGAGGGACAGAGAGAGGAAGACAGAGGATCTGAAGCAGGCTCTGCGCGGTCAGCATAGAGCCCAACGCGGGGCTCGAAGCCATGAACTGTGAGATCATGACCTGAGCCGAAGTCAGACACCTAATCGACTGAGCCCTGGAGAACCAGACTGTATCTGATGCAAGCACTCCACTCCATCCCTGAAGCACAAAGGTGGCCACAGACAATACAGAAACCAATGCTCCCCTGCTCTAACTGGCACTGTCCAGTGGAACTTTCCACAGTGACAGAAGTAGTCTGCCATCTATCAAGCACTTAAAATACAGATACCAAGACTTAGAAACTGTTCATTTTAGTGGCCGCAAATGTAAACAGCCACATATAAGCGAGCAACTACTACACTGCACAGCACTGCTTCAGACTAACCAACTAGCCAATTTCATCTCTGGACAAAAAGCTTAGAGCGTGAGTTAACTTTTAAAGCTACAAAAGAACTCTGTGAGTGTATTACAGGGTAAAGTGGAAAGAAAAAACACGATGTGAAATTTCTAACAATTCACAGATCATACCAGTAAATAACTGAACTTGTAAGCAAATTAATCTCAGCTCAAGTGGTAGGATACGTGTAGAGCTCCATGTATCTGGATTTCGCCATACTTTGTCTGGTATATACTTGCTGGATTCCAGCTCGGAGGTCGTCCCAGATCTGGTCGAGGCCAATCTGCTTCAGTCCATGGGGATTCTGACTCCTGTTTGATGACATTGTGAGTGATGTTCTCAGGTCGTCCAGTGCAGCAAACCTAACTCAAGGTACAGCTAATTCTCCATCAGATGAAAATATACAGTATCATTCCAAATTTATTCACAGCAGCTCAGAAAGGATGTCCTTTAAATGTAGAGAACGAAATCTCATCGCAGGCAAACCTGAAGAAGAAATAAAGCCAATTAATTAATTCTTTCTCGACATCCTGGAGTGGGGAATAGGGTACCTGCCACACACATGGAAATATTCAGTCTGTGGGCCTTAGGTGCACACCACTCTAATGTAGAGAATATTTCTTTTTCTCTGCAGAAACAAACATGAGTTTGTTAGATGATCTACGTACAGAGATAAGCTTCCTTATTAGGGATTTAGTTCAGAATCATATGAACTCACAAGGAAAGTGCTCATAAGAAAAGCTGGGTAAAATTGCAGAAGCACAGCTAATAAATACTGCTGCTCTTCTTGCCTTCAGAAGGTATCAAAACTAAACGACCTGACCTACATAACAATTAGCAAGATAAATGCAAAGGAAAAAAGGCAAAGCAAACTCCCAGAAACACAAATAGCTAAAAAGTAGGGAAAACCAACCACACTAAGTTATCTGTGGAATTTAACAATTTTTCATTTAGCACTATGCAGAAACGCAGATGTTGGGAAGATTGAAGGTACAGGGAAATGGTCATTCCCCTTTTAGAAGGGAGTTTGGGAAGAATCATCAAAATTGAAAATGTCCCCTGAATTCGGAGGCCGGGGTCTGAAGCTTGGCTCCTCACCCACTAGGTATGAGGTCTCCAGCAAGGTACTTTACTTCTCAGGCTCAATTTCTAAGTCTGCAAAAGGCGGTGGCGGGAGGTGGGGGGGGAATCATTCTCCTCAGACAGTTACTGTGAAATTTAAATAAGGTAATGCCTATGTTATCTTCTTATCTTATCGATATTTAACACATAGTAAGCACTCCACAAACTATACTGGCTGTTATTTCCAAAATATAATTTAATGCTTTAGGATTTCAGATCCATAGATAAAGGACCTTAGGTATTCAATACCCTATTAATTCAGTACTTCTCAATATGTAACACCACAGTCACACCTTAAGGATTATCTATGTACATCACATTGAAATGGGGAGGTTTTTAAACAAGTACTTCTGTTGTAAAATCAACAATTATTTTCATGGCTCCATAAAATACATATTGGGAGGTAAATGGTGTCTGGAACAGTTAAGAATGGGTTGTCAAAGCTTGCCAGTTCAAATCTGAGTTAGCAAGTAATTCAGTACATTCCTCCTTTTCAATGGCATTAGAGCTCTCTGTAGGTGAAGGCACATTTAAGGAGAAGGTAGCTCATACTTGTGCATCAAGTCCAAAAACTAAACCATCTCTAATACTTAAATTTATCTTTTAAGTAGGCTTCACGCCCAGTGTGGAGCCCAATGCAGGGCCTGAACTCATGATCCTGAGATCAAGACCTGAGCCGAGATCAAGAGTCAGAAGCTTAACCAACTGAGCTACCCAGTGACCCTCAAACATTTAAAATCTAAGCTTTGGGACCTAATGTTTTATATTTTATGAAACCACAATACCCTTCTTGACCTTGAAAGTATTCTACAGCATACACTGAAGTAAGTATGCTCAGATGTAGAGCATAAATATATCTGACACAGGGATTCCCTCAAGTTTTAGGGAAACCAACCACCCAGCAGCCGCTCTGCAATTGCTCTCCGAATATACGTGTGATCCCCCCCCCCCCGTCTACCTTGGGAGGATCGTACCAACCAGCACCCCACTGGACGGTGTGTTTGTACCTCCTGGTGGCAAGACCCATTTAAACCTGCACTCCCTGTCTGCGCTTCATTTTCCACTAAGGGGAAATTATCACTTAAATTCTCTAGATTCACACACAGTTAATTCTATCTTAGATAAGCCTTCTCAGACCCACCTAGATGGTCTTTTACTCCTTTTTCTTCTAACTCCTAGCAGCAACTGAGAACAATGTTCCACTCTTCCCATGTGCACCCTTTTCTCACCATATCACTTCCACTGGGCAGCATAAAAGTACCTTCAAGTACAACGGGTTACTATGGGGACATATCAACCTCCCTCCTTCACACCTCCACCTGCTAGTGACTCCTGAAGTGTGTCTCCAGCCCAGGCTGCTTCTCTCGAGTCCAGGCCCGTCTACACAACCCAGTGCCCCCGTTCATACCCCCCCCCCCAAGACATCGCACACCCAGTAGGTGTGCCGAGCGCAGGAACTGTCCCCACATCCACCGTTTACTGGTGCTGCCCATCTCAGTGAGTGCCAGAAACTTGGGAATAATTCGAATGCCTCATTCCTATTCTTTCACATCTGAGTGCTATTGATTTTAACCTCAGAGGTCATGTCACCTCCACTCACTACTTCCATTTCCTCCCCTAGTGGTCACTGTTGTTGTCATGGTCATGGTGGTGGTGGTCGTCGTCCCCATCATCATCATCACACTCCCCAGGCTGCTGTTTGCACAGTCTACCCTGGAGGCCCAGAGCACCCCTCCCTTTGTCTTACCCCCTCCAGCCTTCACACACAGCAGTTGAGTCTAAAACTACAAATCTGATTAGGTGTCACTCTGTGAGCAATGGGAAATCAAGCGAGTGTCAAAAGCAGGGAGATCCTGAACAAGGCACCACCAGATCTTCTCTTTTCTTTGGGAAAAGCTGAAACAATTTACTGGGCTGCTTTCATGAGATTAACAATTTCCATACCACTGCCCCACACCAACATGGTCATGCACAAAAGCCACACTGCCCCTTGCACCAGAGCAAGGGCAGCGACAAGGAAAGTCCGGCCGGCCCCCCAGCCCGCCCGGCCCACCTCGGCTGCTCAAGCTATTCATTCCCTGTGACAAGATCTTTCTTTCTCCTCACGTGCCTTTTACAAAACTCTCCCCCTTTGCTCCCTCGGGCACAGCCATGCACACGCTTCCCCCCTTTCCTGGCTATGCCGGTCTCCTTCCCACTCCTGGGGATCTCAGCATTTGCTGCTGCTTGTGCCCAGAAAGCTCCTATGCTGCCCCAGCCCGCTTCCAGCTGGGTCACACTTTCTAGAAGTCCCAGACCAGCGAGGTTCACCGCCTTGTGTGACTTCACCATCTGCACTCTTAGTCCTGGTAGCCCCTGCCTGTGCCTCTCCCTGCTCTGCTGAGGAGGGTTCGCGGCACAGACACCAGCTGAGAACCTAATTCAGAGCCCGGCATGCAGATCAGTGTTTTATGGGAATAAACGAAATAACAAATTGGGAAATTGAAAAGCTGTATGTTTTTAAAGGATTTAGAAATAATGAAATATCACTATTATAAAGCATCTGAACTTACTCCCAAGCCCCCATTTAGAATCTCCATTAAATTTTATCTGGTTTCTTCTCCACTTTTTCCTTCAAACGCTAGATTATTTTCCTTAAAAAATTTTTTTTAACGTCTATTCATTTTTGAGAGGCAGAGCGTGAGCCGGGGAGGGGCAGAGAGAGAGGGACACACAGAATCTGAAGCAGGCTCCAGGCTCTGAGCTGTCAGCACAGAGCCTGATGCGGGGCTTGAACCCACGGACGGACTGGGAGATCATGACCTGAGTCGAAGGCAGACACTTAACCAACTGAGCCATCCAGGTGCCCCCAACCACTAGATTTTAGGCTAAAGTTTTCCTTACTGTTTCAGTTAGTAATGTTGTGTGTTATTCTGGTCATTGCAAATGTATACGTATTTTAACATAGTGTTTAAACAGACTTTTAAGAATTACAGGAATTCAGTGGTTAATATTTTACTTAATATTTAGTGCGAAACTACCATGTGCGTGGCACTGTCTTATGTATCTTATGTACAGAAATCTGTTGCATGTCTATACACTAATAATGAAGCAGCAGAAAGAGAAATGAAGAAAACAATCCCATTTGCAATTGCCCCAAAAATGGTAAAATACCTAGGAATAAACTTAACCAAAGACGTGAGAGACCTGTACTCTGAACACTGATGAAAGACACTGAAGACAACACAAATAGCAAGACATTTCATGCCCATGGATTGGAAGCACAAATACTGTTAAAATGTCTATACTACCTAAGCAATCTACAGATTTAATGCAATCCGTATCACAATACCAACACATTTTTCACAGAACTAGAACAAACAACGCTAAAATCTGCATGGAACCACAAAAGACCCCAAATAGTCAAAGCAATCTTGACAAAGAAGTACAAAACTGGAGGCATCACAATTCGAGACCACATGTTATATTACAAAGTTAAAGTAATCAAGACAGTATGGTATTGGCACAAAAACAGACACATAGATCAGTGGAACAGAAGAGAAAACCCAGAAATAAACCCACGATCACACGCTCAATTAATCTTCAACAAAGGAGGTGAGAATATGCAATGGGAAAAAGACAATCTCTTTAATAAATGGTGTTGGGAAAACTGGACAGCAACGTGCAAAAGGAGGAAACCAGGCCACTTTCCTATGCCACACACAAAAATATACTCGAATGGATTAAAGACCTAAATGTGAGACCTGAAACCATAAAAATCCTAGGAGCACAGCAGTATTACTACTTCCCTGACATCAGCTATAGCACCTCTCCTGAGGCAAGGGCAATGAAAGCAAAAAGTTCAACATCACTCATCATCAGGGAAATACAAATCGAAACTACAATGAGATATCCCCTCATACCAATCAGAATGGCTAAAATCAAAAACACAAGAAATGACAAGTGTTGGCAAGGATGTGGAGAAAAATGAACCTTCTTGCACTGTTGGTGGGAATGAAAGTGGTGCAGCCACTGTGGAAGAGAGTATGTAGGTTCCTTAAAATGGAACTACCCTATGATCTGTTAACCATACAGAGTACCCAAAAAATACAAAAATACTAATTATAAGGGATACATGCACTCCCATGTTATTGCAGCATTTACAATAGTAAAATTATGGAAGTAGCCCAAGTGTTCATCAGCTGATGAATGGATAAAGGTGCGTATATACAACGGAATTATTATTCAGCTGTAAAAAAGAAAAATATCTTGCCATTTCTGACAACATGGATGGAGCCAGAGAGCATAATTCTTTTTTAATTTTTATTTATTATTGAGAGAGCACGTGCATGGGAGGGGCAGAGAGAAGGAGAGACAGAGAATCT